TGTTTTGAGAATGATGATGGCAACAAATGTACAAATGTGCTTGACACAATGGATGGATGGATGGATTGTGATAAGAGTTGTACGAGCCCCCAATATAATGACTCACATACATGTGAAAGTTGAACATTGAGCAAGGAAGACAAAGAAGAATCGATGAATATTGAAAGTATCGAGGACTGCCAAAAGAACAAACGGATCTGTCTGGGACAAGTACAACCAGAATGTTTCTTAGATGCAAGGATGGCGAAACCCCTTTACTTAATATATATTGTAGAATGAGAGCCAAGACATGAATAGATATATGCATCACCATGTTCATTGCAGAAATATTCACCATAGCAAAAAGATGGAAACAACCTAAATGCCCATGAGTGAAAGAATGGATAACTAAACATGATCAAATTATGTCCTTCAAAAAATAATCATAACTTTTTTTCTTCCTTCAAAAAAATTAAATTGCATTAATATAATATTTATTATTTCTGACTGTGAGCTGTTTTGGGGAATGTTCGGTATAATCTCTAAGAGTCTTTTTCCACACCTTCGATTAAAAAATACTATAAAATATTAATAACTTTGAGAATTATTTTTTTGCATAGAGCTGTGGTTCTCATAGTTTTATCTTGGAACTACCAGTATAAGAATGACCTGAGACACACGTTAAAATTAAAATTTGCTAATCAGAATCTTGGAGGATGACAGTAAGAACTTGGATTTTTTAAAAATCCACAGATGTTAATTTGAAGAAAATATGATAACTACAACTCTAGCCTCTTATTGTTCATCCTGGCCACAGGAAAAAAAATTAAACATCTATGTTCTCAGGGGATGATTGATAATGTTATTCAACATAAAACAATGATGCTGCTAAGGTGAACCAGGGACATATATAAACCATAGATGCATGAATAGATTTTAGGCTTGCACTTAATTCTAGCCCCAGTCTAAGAACAATTAGCTCATAAGCATGGCCCTGCTGATGCTCAACCTCGTGAAGAGATCACTGAAGATAAGGGTGCTGCAGCAAAGTGTGGTGAAGAAACTAGATGCTGAATAGCTATCTGAAAGAACAGTGTCTGGGGTCTTACAGGCTTGCTTGGAAATAAGTGGTCATCTAAGTGAGGTGTGAACTAAAACCACATGGAAGAAGCACACCAGTCTGTGTGATCCAAGAATTGTAAATAATATAATCCAAATCTAAATGAGAGAATAGCATCAGAGCTTAAATTGTGAATACCTGGTTTGCAGAAGGTTATGGATGACAGGAGAAGTGCCAAATCCATTTGCAGGGTCCACACATAGATTAAGTCCCCAGTGAATCCCCACGGTTGAGGGCCATGAATAGCCCTCAGAGAGCATTGTACCGTCAATTATGGCAGACATAGTTAGGTCGAAATGTAATATCTTTTCATCACCCTTTAGACTCATTGTCAAGCTGTTTCGATTAAAAGAAAAATGATAGGGAAACACAGGTGGAATAGGCCCCGGGGGAATCCCCTCGGACCATAGAACGGCGAGGTGAACAGGGAACCCTTGTTAACATGAAAAACATATTACAAAGTGGATTGTTGCAGATGCGGTTAGGTTAAAATTTAGCACCCTATCATTTAATCTTCCTTATGATTTTTTTCCTTATATAGAACATTTACATTTGTTCTAGTTTTTAGTATTTCTGCTTCCTTTTTAATTGAAGATTTTATCTTTCTGTTTTACTTTGTTATTCTTTCTAGGTTTTTTTTGTAGTTTCTTTTGTGTGATGTTTTTCTGTACATGAAATCCAGTAGAGGTGAGTCCATAGAGACAGTTATTGGATTAATGGCCCCTTCAGGGTACCGCAGGAGGTTGGAGGGGAATGGAGAGCTAATAACAATAAGTACAAGATTGAAGAAAATGTTCTAAAATTGATTGTGGTCATGATTGTACAACTCTTCTTGATGTGAGGGCAAAGGGAACAGGAAATGTGTGAAGGAAGAAGGTAGTCCCACACACCACGTGACTATTTGCAGAAAAGAGGACAGTAATTATTATGACTGTTTCCTCTTTATGTAGCAAATACTTCTGTTTTGTTCACTTATAAACTATAAGATATATACTGAGTTCATGCACTTTTGTTGTACACATGCAACAATAAAATGTAACGTGTATCATGTTAGGTAGGTACAAGTATGACTTCAGTATTGTCTTTACTTGTGATGATGATGTATGGCCTAAAGAGATATGAACAAGTGCCAAGTTGACAAGGGGTGGATTGTGCAACAAGTTGTGGGCTGATATAATGGACTTGTTAAATCAAGCCAAATGATTTTCTGAGGGCTATTGTATGTGGATTCATTTATTATAGCTTCCATTGTGCCTTATATGCATAAGAAAGCTGAGTAATGAATAAAAAGGCAATAGAAGAATTGATAACATTTGAACTGAGGTGGAGAATATTGGACATAAACCAGGGACTGCAAAAAGAACAAAGAAATGAGTCTTAGAAGATATATAACCAGGATGCTTCTTAGAATGGAAGGTGGAAAGACATATTTCCCTACTTTGGACTTCATAAGCACAGGCCAACTGCTAGAAAGAATATCACGTTTGGCAGAGGGTCAACCAAAATAAAGGAAACCTTTATGAGATGAGTTGGCACAAAGCCACAAGCACGGACCCAAACACACTAATAATCATAAAGATGAGATAGGACCAGGCAATGTTCTCTTCTGCTAGTCATAAGCTTGCCACAAATTGGAACCACTTTGACAACAGCTAACCGTGAAACAGCATTGTGACGGATTTTCCATGAGTTTCTTCATTTTTTAAATTTTATTGATCAGTCCTGTGTCTTTATTAAAGAGAATTAGAACTAGACTAGACCTGGCAGCCAAGGGGAGACATACTGGCCAGGAAGATTGGGTGGGCTCAGGCCCTGGGGATTCAAGGGCAAGCCAATGCCCTGGGAGAGGCCAAGGAGACCAGGTGTTGGCAGCAGCTGTGGAAGTGTCCAAGGTTCAGTTTTCAGGTACTGGGACCCCCAGATGGTTCTTCAGGGGGTGCAGGGTGGGTTGGGCTGGCCAGGGTATCACCAGGGCACTCCTGCTCTGTGTGCCTAGATCACCCACTGGTCTTGATCCTGCTCATTGCCTTCCATGTCCACCTCATTGACCTCTCCATCGTCAGGTGACTCATTGTAATCAGTGATCTCGTCCATGTCCTGCATATCCTCATCATCCTCTGAGTCTTCCTCGCTATCTTCATCATCTTCTTCATCATCTTCCTCCTCCTCATCATAGTGCTCCTCGGCTGGCTTGCCAGTAGGTACCAGGTTGTTGTCCTTTTCTGCAATGCTCTGGAGCCAGGCCTGATGCTGCTGTTCCCGCGGTTGCAGTTGGGTCTCCTCCACACAGGGCCCATCCAGACGTAACCAGAGCGTCTCAGTCACACGGGGGAAGAGCGAGGGAAACAAAGTAGACATGGCTCCTAGATGGCTATTTAACCTTGCTCAAGTCACGTCACCAACCTCTTGGAGCCTCAGCTACCTCATCGCGCCCAGGGGCACTTCTATCTGCCTGGGCGGAAGAACCGCCCAAATCCTGGGTCAAACCTAGGCGGCCTTTGGGTTCCCGCTCCCTTCCCGCCTGACCGGATGCGGCGTTAGGCGAGTTTCTTCGTTTTTGAAGAGTGCACACATCTTTGCAAAGTAGCTGTCCAATTCATGAACAACTGGTTATGCTAATTACCCACAAAAGTAAGCAGAGGATTTCATTTCTTAAGGGCCCTTTTGATCACAGCCCCATGTGAAATCTGACTTCTCTTTGCTCTTTATTTCACATTTACACGTGAGAGGACCAGGAACTTTTCTGCGTCATCTACATTCTTATGTAGTGGAATAATAAGACATTGAGCCTGGTTAGTCAAGTTGAACAATCTGGCCAGCTACTCTGGATGGAACACTGTGAGTGTGCAACGTGGGACTGGCTCTGGTCTCAAATACTGTTGGAAATT